TCCTGCTGAAATCTTATTCATTTTCCTCCTAACGCCATCAAGTCCCCCATTGGAGCAGTAAGGGTATACTCTCTCTTTGCAGGCTCTTCACAGAACCACTCCAACTCGTCATGGGCCATCTCTTCCCATTCTAATGTGAAACCATCAATGCATAAGTTAATTCAATGAACCAGAAACTTCTAATCAACACCCATTGAGTTTTTAAGTGAGTACCAAAAACAGAAAAAACGAAAAGGTCCAAAGGAATTTCAAACATCAACTAGAAAAGGAGGGCATATCAAGTGCAGAAATACACGAAAAACATTTAGTTTATGTTCATGGAAAAAGGCATAGTGGTTTGAATTTCATCAAGCTCTGGTGGATTATGGTTGGTCGTGTCCATGGCGCAAAAGTAGTGTCTGACAAGTATTTTCTTGGAGATTGACAGTTGTGATGGACCTCAAACAAAAATATTCTCCTAAATAGTGTCCTAAACCTAATGAACATCTTAACCCTACAGGCCTAAATCCCTACTTATTTGTTTTAGATATATTATAAAATTCTATTTTAATAAATATAGTGAATTTATGTTCAATTCAGGCACACACTTACACAAAGAGAAGCGGAGGGAGACAGGCTAATTAATTGGATAAAAGTTGAAGCAACATATATTCCAAGTTTGACAGAAAATGTGATATACTCACACACAAAACACAGAGAAGACAGAATTAGAACACTTGCATAACAACAACATACTCAGTATATTCCCAACTGGTTGGGGTCTGGGGGGTCAGTTGTACGCAGACCTTACCCTTGTAATTATACAAGGAGGTTGTTTCCGTAGCGACCCAAGGTGCATTGCGTCGTTTGATATATTTTTTTTTCTAGAAACTTCACTAATTAGAACACTTGCATACAATGAAGAAAAACAGAATGTAATGGGCGCAATTGCAATGATTTCCTTACAAATCCAAGCTCAAACTGAGATGTTTAATTTAAGATATACAGAATTACTATAAAGAGGTGGATGATCTCAACACCAGTAAAAAAAAAAAAAAAAAAAAACACTGCAAGAGCCAACCAACTGAATGAACTTGAACATAACAAATATTAACAAGAAAAGTGTGCAGAATGAAAATGCATTACTGATGTTAAAAAGGGAAGACTGACAGCACAAGAGCAAGGACCCATTACAAAATTTAGTTCATGTTCAGTACTTACTTTTGATAATAATTGCTGAGCTTGAGTGCATAAACCTCAAAAAGATGCCGTGGATTTGGCCCCAGTACCTCAACAATTAGATCCCACTGTAGATCGTATAAGTATAGTAAGTATGTGCACTAGACCAAGTTCCTTTCATAGGTTTGTGTACGCACATCTGCCTGCAGTATATATGTACTTGTGCAGGATACATATATACCAGAATATCTATGAGGGCACATGCACACAATCAATTAATATTTGGTTCAATTTGGAACCGCAAGTACCCTCTGCAAGTGCAGCCTGCTATGATTTGAAAGTACAAAGATTATATAATTAAAAAATAACATGAAATTGTTTTTATCTGATTTTACTATATTTGGAAGGCAAAGTTCATTGAAAAAAGCGGAGAGTTTTATATTTAAGTAACATAATGTCAAACAATTTACCATATTATATGTCGAGGAAATGGATCTTGGGCTTGTGCACTTTCAAGTTCATCAGTTAAGATTTTTATTTTTTACATTCTACAACACCCTACTAGTAATTTAAACTACTTCCTTTATTGACTCAGACATTTAAAAAAAAAAAAAAAATTAAGATATAAAGGCACTGTCAAAAATAACTCGGCAATTAGCTCTACAATAAAATAACAGAATTTCTAACATTAAAAACGTTTGTCTAGGGAAAAAGTGAAATGAAAGGGTGAAAAAAGTTGTTTTCAGGAAAAGTTGGACTGATTTGAGATTGTGAATTGATCTGAGATACAAAAATGTAATGATTAGAGTTGATGTGATATAAAAATATAAAATATTGATTGATAAGATTGGTATTTGGCAGTTAGAATCACGTGAATGGATGAATAGTGTTGATATGATGGAAAATATATAATATTAATTACATTATATTTTTTAATTGACTGAGTGGAAATGGAGAGCAAATGAAAGAATTAAATAGTAAGTGAGATAAAAAAAAAAAAAAAAAAAAAAA